CGGAGTTCAGTGAGGCCAGTGGTCAGGACCCACGGACCAGGAGGTCAGGGTCAGTTAGCCTCCCCTAGGTCCCAGCCGGAGGACGATAGGGAGCGGGTTACCAGTCTTAGGTCCCGCATAGTTCGGAGGCCATAGCTCCCTAGGTATCGGGTGAAGGGACCGATATACCCTTCATGATAGGGACCCTGTAGTAAAGACAAAAAACAACGTGTTGCCTCATAAGAAGTTTATTCGTCAGTATTTACCACACTACACATGTCAGGGATCACATCCTTCACAGATGGGATCAGATCACGAATTATATGTACTGTGTTGAATCGGACCTGGATCTGGTTTGCTCATGATTTTGGAAATATTTTTGGTGACCCCTGCTATGTATGACAAGGTGATGGTTTTGATTGGGTCCTCAGGTGGTTCTCTCCCCACGGTTGGGGTGACAGCTTTACGGATTGTGCAATCCGCATATCCATTCATCTTGAGGGCTTGGTGTACGTGCTCCAGTTCACTGGCTAGGTGGTGATGATCGTAAATGCAACAAGCTCTATGGTGTAAAGTTTTGATGAGGGAATTCTTCTGGGCTGGATGGTGGTGGGAGTCAGGTCTTAGATAGGCATCCGTGTGGGTGGCTTTCGTGTAGACAGTGTCCCAATGAGCCATCTGGTCTCTTTTCGATTAAAATATCCAAGAATGGTAACTTGCCATCCTTTTCCATTTCCATGGTGAATTGGATGGCTGGGTGTATGGAATTGATGTGGTTGAAGAATTGGTTCAGAGCTGGCAGGTCATGTGGCCAGATGACGAACGTGTCATCGACATATCTCTTCCACAAGGAAGGACGTAGGATGGATGTCTGGATGGCATCTGTCTCAAAATTTTCCATGAAAACATTTGCTACCACTGGAGATAAGGGAGAACCCATTGGGGTACCTTCAACTTGCTTGTGGAATGTACCATTCCAGGTGAAGTGTTGGTGAGGCAGTGTCTCACCAGGGCTGGTACAAATAAACTATTTTATTTCACAAGGTAAGGCACACTGAGCTACATAGCTCTTTTTTAGAAGTGACCTGGTCACAAATGATAGCTCATTAAAGTTGCTTATCAAGTAGAAATTTATATCAATTAAATACTCTAAACACATGTGTAAGTATGGAGGGGAAAACTGGAGGACCTGGAGAAAAGTTCATGTGACCACAGGGAGAACATTGAAATTCCATATATACAGGCATCAGGGTCGGGATCAAACCCACGACCTCCTGTATACCAGGCGAGGTAGTTAACATCTCATCACCGTGGCGCCCCTCAAGGAGAGTCCAGGCTGTGTGTTGCAGCAACATGGGAAGGCCACACCTGCAAGCAGCTGATTTTAGCTACAAATAAATAAAATAAAGAGTATAAACGATTGTAGTATAAAGTAAAAAAACAATCATACATCACAAATAAAATAGAATAAAGGTAAAAAAATACACAGGAGTAGCAATAAAAACGTGCCCGTGTCCCCTGCTGAACTGGCGTAAGCCCCCTCCTTCTGTACCTTCAGGAGCACCCTGGGTACCAGGGGAAAAGCAGACAAACAATAGATCCGACCCTGCCCCCATGGCCATGTCACTGCATCCATGGCGAAAGCGTAGGGCCAAAGGTAGTGCAACGCATAATCGAGCAGCTTTGCATTGTTCACAGCAACCCAGTCGGTGGCAGGCAACCAGAAGCGGCTAACGCGTGGACCAAAAACCACCGGGTGTAGAGACCATTCACCAGGATCTATTGACTACCTGCTTAGCCGCTTGCTCGAGACGACGAAGCGCAGCTGAATCAGCACTGAACAAATTGTGCGGAGATTGAGGACATTGATGCTGGAGGAGTATTTGTCTGCAGGAGCCCCTGCACTGCCTAAGGCTCAGAGAATGCGCCCCAGCTGAGCAGGCAGGCGTTCGTCTCGACCACGAGCTGCTCATTGAAGAAGCCCAGAGGCTCCCTCTGGTTGAGATCGGCTGCAAGGGCCCAATAGTGGAGGTCCCTGATTTTGTCTGGAGGGCCACAAAATGGCCCATAGTGCCCAAGACAGGGTCCCTTTGGTACACTGAGATCCCTGGATGAATTGCGCCTTATAAATGTCAATTGTTATTATTCTTGAGCAAAAAGACCATGGAGGGCTCACACGCGTAGACAAACCAAGGGAGGACATCGACCGTGATGCTGGCCGACGAGCACCAGAAAAGACCGGGCTGGGCCACCATGAGTGGAAAACAGAAAAACGACCAGACCGGGCATAGTGGCTATCTTCTCGGGTGTCATGAAAGCCCGAGTCTGGACAATGTCGAGAATAGTGCTCAGTTGCTCGAGTCATTGCGAGGGGGACAAAAGACAATTAGCCCCATTGAACGTAAGGCCGAAGAGAACGATGCGGAAACGTCAGTGACGACCCATCATGCAAAAGCGCATAAAGCAGTGGTGGCCGGCAAGAATGGCCTAAGCATCATTGACAGCCCAAACCTTCACAATCGCCCGTATGTCGGCCAACCTTGACACCTCTGTTTCCAAGGCCACTGTCAATGCAGGGGCCTGTGGTGTACTGGAGTTGACCCAGAGAGGACCGCGGAGATGACCATGGAACTCCCAACACACAGCCTCATTCCAAGAAGCCAAGGACCTACTTGTCCTGAGTGGAGAATGAGAGAAACGACCCACTTGCTGGTAAGGCACTGGAGCTACTAGCGCCTCAGGGCCCCCCTCACTGTTGGAGGACAGGGGGACAAGAAGACTTGTCATAGCCACCTGAGAAGCGAACTCGACCCCTGGGTTTCCCTGTCAAAGGCCCGACCCCTCCAGAAGGGCTGACCCCCTTTGACCAGACTGGTGGGCATAGGGCTAAATGTAGGACTGGGTACTATGAAAAAACTAGGTAGGCCATGGCCTTCTCCAGCTGCTCACTCTCCTTGAGGGCATGGGCCTCCTGGATGTTTTTTTCCCAAAAAGGAACTGACCCTCAAGCCAGTGAGGCCTTCATAGTCTGCAGCGTGTACAAAAGAGAACAAATGGCAGTCATCACGACAACCATATCCATTCCAATTAACCAGGTAAAGGCCAGCTTAATAATTGACCTTAAGACTTAACACTGACAATGTTTCCTTGTATGTTACATACACCGTGGCCTGGACAGACAGAGAGACTGCCTTCTGAGCCTCATTGTTAAGCAGGGCTGTCCACCGAGTCAGGAAGAACCAAAGAGAGGTATTCCCAGGCAGCGTGCTTATGAGGCAAAATGTGGCAGAACCACTAATAGCTGCTCGCGCTGGTCCTCAGACACAGCATAGCTCCAGTCCACTGATTTCAGTGACCGTAAAGCATCTAATCGGAAGTTCAGCAGAGGCAGAGGAACATAAAGGGGGGAAGTTTGTTTCTTCCTCTCCTTGTCTTTCTTGGACTTGCCCTCCGTGACCACTGAACTCAGGAGCCACAAGCCCTACGGATAAAGTGGTGGATATAAAAATCCCCCCCAGTCTCAAAGGCTGAGGAAGATGAGGCTGAACCTTCCTGCGAATCGGAGTTCCCCGGGAATTGTTATTTTTTATGGTTCAAAAAATATATCTTTTGTAATTATAATTATTACAAGTAGCCTCAGAATCACTATTTGGTGGGATTTTGCATGAATGATGCAATAAATATTTTTTTAAATTTTTTATCATACCTATCTGAAGAAAAAGAAATCCCTTGCCTTGAAGATTCAACTTTAGCCATAGCCTTCATCTTCCTAGCCCGACTGCCCCCGAGGCTTCTCTGCGATTATTTTTCTTATGTGCATTTTTTTCTCATTGTTTATGTATTCCTTTTTTTGCTAATTAGTGGGGTTTTATTTTTTTATTTTTTGTATGAAACTGGATAATGTATGCGCAGTGTTGTGGGATGAGATTGCATGAATGATGCAGTATAAAAGCAAATTATAATTATTATTACCCGGAAGGGTGCCTGTGGTGCTTGGACTTGGTCCTGGGGGGGCAACCCGGACAGGGCTGCCCTAAACCTGGCCTCCACAAGTACAAGCTCGAAAAGAAATCCATCCCAGTCAAGATTAGATGGCTGCTCAGACCAGGGTCTTCTGAGTCGCCCTGGGGAAACCTCTTTCTCCAACCCTGCGCAGGAGTAATGCTGGGTCGGGAATTCCTCAGGCGCATCTTGGAGGGGCTCCTCAAGGCCTACTTATCCTGGGCCTGGCTCTTGAGACTAATTTGGTCGAGAGATCACGGTACAGTCAGTTCAGTAGGGTAGAGTATCGGGGTCAAAGACCACAATAGTGCAGGTACTGTAACCGATAAATTATGGCGAACACAGAATATCGCGGTTAAATGAGCACTGCAACCTGCAGTGTATCGCGGCCACAATCACCGCAGAACTGCAGGTTTTCCCAATGCGGGGCTAGTGTACAGAACGGGGCTTCCGCATGGAGTTTTTACATATTAGATATCTTGTACTGGCGTGGATATGGAATGTTTATTCCTTAAGAACAGTTTGAGTCTGGCGGTAGCCACTGAGTGAACAATTTTTGTTTAACACTTCAATTTTGGCTCTATTTAAGCTCTGAGAAAATGTATAAAAGTCTGGACAATTATGCCGGCACACAATGGCCAACTCCTCTTCGAATTACATCACAGGCACAGCCATCACCGCCGCCGGTCGATGTCCCTCGACGCCGATGACAGGAATGGTGGCACAAGGCCAGATCCCGGAGGTGGGGAGTGGTAGTGGGGGGGGGATGGTGGGGGGTGTGGGTACTCGTGCCCTGGATGTCATCGTTGAAGGTGCAGTATATCTCGCGGTATTTGCGCATGAGGCGGACTCTGCATAGCATCCTAAGTTTAAAGCAGGCCCGTCAAGATTCAAACCGGGCTATGTCGCCACCCATGATGAAGCTTGCAAAGATCACGAGACCACTCAATGGACATTCACGGTAATTGGCCTCGTACCACAGGAGCTCTGCTGAGCGCAGAAGAGCGTGCAGCCCTCACCTTGACCATGAGGCCGTGCTTGTCGTACATCCACACCTGCCCGTATGCGTCCACGGGTGGCACGCCCTGCTCCGTGAGCGCCATCACGATTAGATTTGCGATGCCGGTGGCCGCCTGTGTGAGATGAGGGGAGGAGGGAACGAGCACCCGTGTGAGAGAGCATAGGCTCGTGAAGGACGACGCTACTGGGCAGTTGGGAGGCAGCCGCCCTCTAACACCAACAGAGGACAGAGGAGCGAAACTCATAACAACGAGCATAGTGCTGGGTGACTAAAACGCAGCAAGTTGGCAAAGTGGGGAGCACAGGTGGTGCATCTTTCAGTCATCTCAGTCAACCCATAGCACCTGTGTCTGTCCCATGACCTCCAGCAGGCCTCCGACACTTCACGTGGCCTCAAAGTGCACGTAGCCTGGCACAAGTGCCGTGGTGACATTACCACAACTTAGCGGCTGTAGCAGTTATATACTGGTTTGTGCATGCTCCCGTTTGTGTGGGTGTTGGTGCGCTGGCCGGCTCCCCACCTCCCCGGCGCCGAGGAAGAGGAAGCGGCTCTGAGACAGCGTTGTCCCCGTCACCTTCTGCGCTGCCAGCATCCCAGCCAGTGCCACCGCTGCCGTTCCTGCACCGCAGGAGGTGGAGAGGGAGTGAGGAGAAGACCGAGTCAGGATCGGCACACGCCACATACAGCGGCACGCTAGGCACAGCCATCACCGCCGCCGGTCGATGTCCCTCGACGCCGATGACAAGAATGGTGGCACAAGGCCAGGTCCCGGAGGTGGGGAGTGGTAGTGAGGGGGGGACGCTGGGGGTGTGGGTACTCGTGCCCTGGATGTCATCGTTGAAGGTGCAGTATTTCTCGCGGTATTTGCGCATGAGGCGGAATGCGTTGTGGTTCCCGAAGTCTTCAAACTGGATCAGGGTGTTGTAGCCGTACCTGCGTGGCACAAGGAAAAGGAGGGAGAGAAGGAAGAGGAGAGTAGGAGGGAGGGGTCCCGCAAGCCGTGTTTCATTAACGAGTCGCTCATTTTGCCAACTCACATCTCGGTCAAATGTGTTAGCTTTTGAATGCAGCTCCCCGTCTAACACGGCTCCCGTCCTCCAATATGGCTCCCGCCCTCCAACGCGGCTCCCCCTCTCCAACACAGGTCACTCTGTCCAACACGGCTCCCCCTCTCCAACATGGCGCCCCCTGTCCAACAAAGATTCCCCTGTCTAACACGGCTCCCCCTGTCCAACCTGGCTCCCGCTGTCCAACACGGCTCCCCCAGGCAAGTCGCTGTCACGTGACTCACTTCTCGACAACGGCCTCCATGAACTCGTCGATGAGCTCATCGTAGCACTCCGAGCGGTCGCGCTTCTGGTAGAGCCCCATGTAGAAGGGGTCCTCCAGCAGGGACTGGGGTCACACAAAGGGGTCCTTACAATCAGACAGGGTCCTGGCCATACACACGCGAGGTCCTCACCACACACGCGCGAGGTCCTCACCACACACGCGCGAGGTCCTGACCACACACACACGAGGTTCTCACCGCATACATACAGGGCCTCACCATACACACGGGGGTGCCTACCACACACACAGGGTCCACACCACGCAGAGGGGTGCTTACCACACAAACACCGGATTCTCACCACATACAAATGGGGAACCACACCACACACACAGGGGTCCTCACCACACACACCGGGGTCTGCAACTTCTTCTCACTTACGTCACTCTAACGCTCCTGTAACCCATAACCCCAAAACTAGCAACAACCCTAAACCCAACTCCATCCCAAACCCTAACCCCAACTCTAAATCTAATCCCAACTCTATCCCCAACTATAACCGTAACCCCAACTCTGGTACCAATCATCGGCAAATCCAATCAGCTTCACACCCTTTTGTACCACATCAGTCCATCTCTTCTCTAGCCCGTGTCACATCCATTTAGCCCTATCTATCCAGCCAAACAGAAACGGCTTGGGCATGCAGTGGCTGGGCATGCGGGCTACATGACCCAGCCAAGGCAGCCTCGCTTACCGGAGGCGCTCACCGATGGGACTTTTTCCAGATCTTTCAAGGATCTGTAAACTTCTTACACAATTCAGTTTGGTTAAACCCAGGATGGATCGTAGGCAGATGAGCCTGAATGTTTCAAACCGGCACAGATGTTCCTTTAAAGGGCTCCACATTTCGCAAGCATAAAGGAAGGGCATGACTCTGGTAAAAAAACCCCAGAGCTTTGTATGTAACGACAGGCCAGGTAGCTTCCACAAAATGTTACGCTGCTGAGAAAAATATAATGCCGCTCGATTGATTCGGAGTGAGACATCAGCTGCTAAACCGGAGTTGGCCATAAGCACATTGCCTAAGTACAGAAAATGATCCACTTTCTCCACAACTGCCCCATCACTCTTGAGGAAGACCGGCGCAGATTTTGTGGACTTGTTATCAACCTACGACATAGTCTGAATAATGGCTTGATGTCAAAGCTTGCAAGGACCATTCCTTGCATCGGGGGTTTACAATTGTTGTCATATATTGACCGCCGTCTTCACCGCTGTCGGAATTCTTTTTCGATCTTTCTGGTCTGCTAGACTGTGGGTCATTTGGTTCTCACTACATCAACTTTAGTGATCTGAACTGTCCTGGACCGACCGGTACAGTGATCTCGCCGAGATTATCGACAGTCAAAGTTGAACCCAACATGTCATTGGCGAAACATGTCACTCGGAAAATATACTGGATCACATCTTCACATCCGCCAATGCCATAGCTGTGACCAACGTAGTTATCGAAGACGTATTTCAGATCACAGTCTCGTGACAGTCCAAAGTGGCATTACCGATTATTCGCCCACCCGTCACAACGATATCATACAGAGACTGCAAACGACTGGATCACGATGCTTTCCATCAGAAGATCCGGTTATCATCGATGTTTATAAATTCTGCATCGACTGTCGATTAATTTGCAGCTCAATTATAAAGTGACATCACTGCTGTTCTTGATGAACTGGTGGCCATCAGAACAAGCACAAAGAGAACGGGGAAAAAAGTGCGTAGTAACTAGCTGACACCGGAGAAAATCGCAGTGAAACATACCCGGAGGAGGCTGAAGTATCTTTGGAAGAAAACTGGTTCTAAGACTGTATAACTCGCTTACACAGCCGCCTGCAGATCTGCCAACCGACTCATTATTGAGTCTTGCAGATCGTTCTATGCTCTGCACATCTTAGAGTCGGCTCACGACCGCTGTATTCTGCTGTGTGTAGTGAAGGTTCTGCTGCACTCCAATCACCCATAAACTTGTCAAACTGGTCTGTGCACAGTACTTGCAACGTTTTTCACCAATAAAAAAATCCACGATCAAGACGGTAGTTTCTAACTTGAATGCAATACATTCTCCTGGTCTGCAATATGACTTTGATCAAACTTGAACCAATGCAAAATTCGAGACCCTGGTACCAACGTCAGTGACAAAGGTGTCAATGTTCATCGCACGGCTGCCAAATCATGCTTGCGCCACCGATTGTCCACCTGTCAAATATTTCACTCAGCCAGGGCTGTTTTCCAGACTGGTTAAAATTGGCACAGGTGTAGTGACTGTGAATGTCACTGTGTGGTGCTGGGCTTGCGAGGCCACGGCGGATAATGTTGTCATTATGTGGAACCCGGTTACTAGGCGTAGTACCAGCCCTAGCGGGGCTTGGGTGAGCGCTGGTTCGTGCAGAGGCATCACGTACAGTGTGCGGTGCGGGCTCCCGGTGAGGGAGCAAGAGAGAGTGTCAGCCAGTCAGGGTTACGGTGGGGCATGATACGCTGGTTGACTTGCCGACACGTGACCAGATGATATTAGAGGGGGGCCACCTGTGGACGGGGGCCGCTGGGTGGTCATGTGGTATAGAAGAGCTCTCGGGAGCCTTTGGGAAAGGGCCAGAGAGATGGAGAAGGTGGGCGGGGCGAGAGGCAGAGCCAGCCTCAGCCCGGGCCGATATAACGGGGGCCCCGTGTGGGGCTCGGGGTTCTTGACTGTTGGTGAGTGAAGATCCACGTCGGGTTGAAGAAGCCTCTAGCCACGCGGTCCGGGACCCAGCTCGTGGTTCGAACCGGGATAGCGGGACCGTGTCTAGTTCTGCCGTAGTGTGGTTAGATGGGCGTTCAACACCCGAGTGTAGGTTACGTTATGTTGTGTTGAGTTGATGTAATAAATAGTGTTGCTCCCAAGACAATGTCTGCGACTCAGTTGGACTCAATACACAGGTAACACCGCTCCTGACAAAAGTTGGCTTGAGCCATAGTGACCTCGCAAACTATCGCCCGATCTCAAACCTGATTATTATTTCAAGGATCACAGAGCGCCTTTGTCTGAAGCGGTGAATTCCTGATGTCACTGCGATGAGCAGATTCGACCCATTACAGTCGGCCTACACGGAAGTTCCACAGCAATGAGACAGCTCTAATAAAGATCAATGATGACCTCTACAAGATTATGAATTACCGGTACGCCACAGCATTGGTTGGCCTCGATCTCTCAGCAGTCTTCGACATCATCGACCATGAGATACACATCGTGCGGCTAAGGTCAAGGTTCGGTGTATCAGGTATGTTATTGGGGTGGATTGAGTCATACCTACATGGTCGATCACAGATTATCAAGCTGGGTGATGAAGAGACATCGCCTATGCCGTACCTAGTTGGTGTATCACAGGGGTCCGTCCTCGGGCTCTTTCTATTTTCAACATATCTCCCTGATGGCCGATGTCATCTCATTGCAAGACATCACGTTCCATCGATATGCTGATGATACACAATTGTACACCGCAGTGAAGTCAAAGTTAGATATGGAAAGCCACGGTAATCTTGAAGATTGCACGCGAGCGGTGCCCGTGTGGTTATCACGATTCAAAATGCTGCTTAATCCAGGAAAATCGGAGGTTTTGCTGGTTGACACTTGGGCTCAGGTGAAAAAAAAATGTGGGAGCAGTAGGAGTAGTGGTTGCAGACTCCAGGATTCAGTTTTATACTCATCTAAAGAGCCTCGGCACCATACTCAACCAGAATGTCATTTGATCACCACATGCAAAATATCGTCAGGTCCTGCCATTTTAATATCAAGGCTCTAAGACACATTCGGCCACTATTGAGTTGTGACATAGCCAACACAGTGGCATGTAGCATAGTATCGACAAGGCTTGATTATTGCAACTTACTACTGTACGGGACGTCTGGCAAATACATTAGCGTGTTTAACACGTAGGCTCTCTGCCTCTACACAGCCTGCGCCGGCATCCGCCCCCCAAAAACGTTGATTATGAACATTAGCGTGTACAAAATAATTTCGCACGTGTCGTGACGGGGACTGCAAGATCCGACCATGTCCGTCCGGTGCTCGCTGAGCTGCATTGGCTTTCGGTTGCTAAATGAATACATTATAAGGTTGCACTCCTTACACACAAAGTGCTTGCCACAAATGAACCACAATACCTTGCTGATCTCATCAAAGAGCATAAACCATCACACAAAGTCCGGACATTCTAGCAGTGACATTTCGCTAACTATCAAACAAAGACTGTCACTGCATCGCGCGTTTTCAGATGCGCTTCTGCAGCCATCCAGAACGCTTTTACTTCCGATATTAGGAAGTGACTAGAGATATGCACTTTCTTTTATCTAGATTGAAACCGATTTCTCTAGAACTGTTTTTCGTGTTTAGGTTGTTGTCCTTCCCCCTGCACCTCCAATTCTCACAGTTGGATACGTATGGTGCGAAATAAGTTCAACATTCATCAATGCATACACCTCACCACACAAACAGGGTCCTCACCACACAAAAGGGGACCTCACTTAACAAAAAGGGTCCTCACCACATACACAGGAATTCTCATCACACACAAAGGGGCCCTCACCACACAAACAGGGGTCCTCACGACACACAGGGGTATGCAATTTATTCTCTCATGGCGCTCTAACGCTCCTGTAATCCCTAAACCCAAAACAACAACCCTAAACCAACTCCATCCCAAAACCTAACTCCAACTCTAAACCTAATCCTAACTCTATCCCCAATAATAACCATAACCAACCCCAACTCTATCAACACTCTCCCCAACCCTCACACTAACATTATCCTCAACTCTATCTTCAACTATAACCCCAACTACAGCCTTAACCCGAACCCAAACCCCCTAAGTCCCTTGCCCCCCCACATTGCCCCAAGTTCCAGCTCCTGTGTCTCTCACACATCTCCATCTGCACGCCCGCCCTGCGCAACCCCCCCACATTTCCCCCGTCCTACCCCCCACAGTGCCACCCCCCACACACCTCGTTGTCAGTGCCCACGTCGATGCACACCGGCAGGCAGCACTCGGGGCGGATGCCGGCGCAGGCTGTGTAGAGGCAGAGCTTCCCCACGGGGATGCCCATTCCGTACACACCCAGGTCTCCCAGGCCCAGAATGCGCTCACCGTCCGTAACCACGATTGCCTGCCGCCACAATACGGCCGGGAACAACCACGATGATGGGAACAACCACGGCAAAAAGATGATCAAATAGCATTCAGCAATACGGCCACCACCGTAACCACCAAAACCATGACCACCATAACCACTTGCATAATCACCACCATATCCCAACACCACCACCATAACAACCAGCACTATAACCACCACCATAACCACTACTACCACCACCACATCCACCCCACCACCACGAGATACACCCCCACCACCATTAACAATAACAGCAGCTGCCATTCGCCTGTGCAAGGAACTAACTGATGTACCTTGAGGCCCCATGCAGTAAAAATGCTCGCTTACAGGAAGTCACAGGACAGACCCAGGTGACATGGGTTGACTGACTGAGATGATTGGCAGCTGCACCAGCTGTGCCCCCTACTGTGCCAACTTGCTGTATAACCAATGCCGACATGAGCCAGTCCTGAACCTCACCCATTTCCCTCAGCATCAGGAGGGGGGAGATGATACCAACCCCACCTGCAAGCGATTTCCAGTTGCTACTGTGGGCTTGAATGGGGTCCTAGGTGCACACCAACTACCGCAGTGGAAGAATGGCAGGTGCATCTTACACATGACATTCCGATGGTCAGTGGGTAGATCAGCTCAACGGTAGGTCCTGGTGTCAATGACATGAGCCGCGGACCGGTACTGGTCCGTGGCCTGTTAGGAACCGGGCCGCACAGCAGGAGGTGAGCGGTGAGTTCGCGCGTGGCCCGCCCATTATTTTATTTACCACTTCCGTCCGCGCCTCTTTCCCACACTGCGCACTTGTCTCAGTCACAGTTTTGGTAAGTCCACAAGCTAACCCTAGCCAAAATGAGTAAAAAACAAACGTCGCTGGAGAGCTTCTATTAAAAAGGGGAAAAGACCCAATGATAACCCCCCCCCCGGTCCGTGAAAAAATTGTCTTCCACGAAACTGGTCCCTGGTGCCAAAAAGGCAGGTTTTATTGCTTGGACCCGACATACATCCATGATGTTGTGTGGTTATGCCGATGCAGGAACATCATGTTGAAAATTACAAGCCCATGGGCTGCACAAAAGTCTAGCAGCCCGCTACTGTTATTATTGAGCTGATCTAGTCCATGCCTTCCAATCACTCCAGCCCAGGTGTCTGTATCATTATCCACTTGGGCATTACAAGTACCTTGAACAGGAGGATATAGAAGGCATCACACTCATTAGTCTTGCTTGCATCCCTCCTCTGATGTTCATATTCGGTGGGGGCTTAAGCAACCACCACCACCATTCCTCTCCGCTTGTTCATGGGAGACAAGCACACAGCAGCCTGGGACTCACAGCTTTCCACAACTTACCTCCACGCTCCCACACCCCTTTCATTCCTTTTTTTTAAAGCAATGCCACTCCCTGTTGTTTAGCAGTTTCCTGCCCCAAGCGGAGGACTGTCCACCCCTCGTGGTGACTGGAGCCAAAACCAGTCCACCAGACCTCCTGTATTCCAGAGTTCCAGGTGGTACCAGTCCATCTCCTGAAAGAAGAATGGCAGCCTCTCTTCTGCAGCGAGAGTTCGAACATTCCACGTGGCCAACCTCCGTGTTCTGGTATTTATTGAAAAATCCCGAGTAGAGGGGTAGAGTCTGGCTCTGCCAAGAGGGGTTTTGCTAGAAGGTGTTGTGAATACCTATTCCTCTGGGAATCTCCAGCACAAGCTTAGTTTGATGTTTCTGTAGTAAGTTCGAGGAGACGAGGTCGGAGTTGAGGCACACTCTGTTTATTTACTCAGTGACAGGCACAATAGTTGAAGGGGTAACGGCCCCTTCACCCGTACTATGGGAAACCCACCCTAGTACTAAGCCCTCTGTCCTGTTCCCCAGTCCTCCTGTAATGGGCTACGGGAGGCCGACTGATCTGGCCCTGGCAAGCACAGATCTCGGCACCAGCTAAGCCGGCCTTGCCCTGACAAGGGCAGAGGTCCGGCAGCTCTTGGGCCGTGCCGCTGGCTTACCCAGCTCGGCCCTGACAAGGGCAGCGAGATAGGGGAGTCCCAGGGCCTAATCTCCGAGTCTTCGATCTTCACTGGTCAGCTTCGTGTCGAACTGCCTCGAGCTCTCTGGCTCCCCGCCTTTTATAGGGATCCCCTCAGAGGGCCGGGGGCGTGGGGGATAACGGATGCGGACGTCGGTGTGACCACCCGTGTGTGTGAGTGCAGACACCCCTGTGTTTGTCGTCCGCTGTTTCTCCCGTAATAACCCCTACATTTCCACCGTGGTATTAGGTCGAAAATAGTTCCAGGTGGAGGGGGTTACCAGCCCCTCGCACACACTGATCTAACTACATACAAAAATCCTCTGTATAACCTTACAAGAGACTGTTGGGGCAAGCGCTGTTAGCGAGTATCTATGAAGGCCGGAATGGCACACGAGGGGGTGGGTGGCCAGCACCATGCCTTTGTCTCCCTAGTGGTGATGTTTACACAACCACACCAGGTACTCATTTGAGGCTGAGTCGACCTAGGGAAGGCCAAGGATCGGTTTAGATATTCATCACCGATGTTTGCCGTTAGCGGGAATCGAACTCGGGTAATTGGGTTCGTGGCGCACAGCTCAATAACTACATACACATATTGAAAGACTTACACACCCCCCACTCACCGTCACCTCCACCAGATCTACCCCACCGCTCCCACCCCCACACGTCACACACCCAAACACGGCACCATACACCACACACCACAATACACACACCACCACATTCACAACATACCACACACACTGCAAGCATAAAACCACCGCACAAATAACTTCACACTACCGCACTCCACCTCACACCAGTGTACAATACACTACACATATGTAATGGTGTAAATTATGCAGGGGACGAGTTGACGGAGGCAACACATTTATTTATAACACTCTACAGTAACAGTCAGCTATACAGCCTAGGAACACAGCCTACGGCTACGCATGCCTGACACCGGCTATGCTCTCAGGTCCTCCGGCTATGTAATTTCTAGAGGAGGCTATCTGACCCGACCTAGCCAGGGTACAGGTCCCAACCACTGGCCCATCGGACCCGGGCCTGATAAGGACGTCGGGCCGGGGATTCCCAGGGTCTCACCACTGAGCCACACAGAGTCCCGGCCCTGATAAGGGCGGCAGGGCTAGGGGTCCCAGGGTCCTATCTAGCTTGCTCCGTCTTCCTTCTGCACTGGCTCCAACAACTCCCAGAGCTCTCTCGCGCACCGCCCTATATACCCCCTGCCCCCGAGGGGCAGGCTATATGCGGACGTCGATGTAGCCACCCCATGCACGGACCGTGATGTAGACACCGGCTACATAATGGCTCGCTACACCCCAGTACGTACCACCTCTACACATAGATACAAAAACGAACACAGAACAACCACATCACCTATGCCAGGCTAGAGACAAGGAGAAAGACCCCCATATAGGCTAAATAGAATGTTCGGGGAAAGTGCTGCTAGTGAGCACTTATGAAGCTGAGTCGACATAGGGGAGGCCAAGAAACAGTTCAGATAATCGCAACTGGTGTTGACCGTGAGCGGGAATCAAACTCGGGTTGCCGGGTTCGAGCACAACGTGCGAACCACTGCGCCAGCGTTCCCCCTATAACCACCACCACCGCAACCCACCACCACAACCATAATGACCCCCAATATGACCATAACCAGCATCATCACAACCATAACCATCACCCCCACCACCATAATCACCACCATAATAACCATCACCATCACTTGTGTTACCTTAACTTCAGGCCGGTGCCAGTTGTCGAGGACAGAGCGGACATGGCCCTTGTCGTTGATACTGATGAATAGACCCCTGTGGGAAAGTGAATACATGGGCCGTTACTCAGGTTACCCAGGGTGCGGCGATTCAGCTGTCGCTCCACCACCACCACATCGGTAACTCTCACACGCTAATCCCGCATATCCACTCACAACAAGTCCATTCCCCAGATGGCCAAGTGGCTGAGACGTCAGAGGGCCAAGATAGCGCCACTGACAATTAGATCCTGGCATGAATCTGGGCTTTGGCCCCGCTCAATGAAACCGTTTCCCAGTCAACCAGGGATGATGACGGGAACGTGGGTGTCCACTGAATGTGGCTCAACTTGAGCTTTGGTCGTTAAAAACCTCAGCTGGACTTCCATGTGCAAAACACCGATCTTACAGTGCAGCATGCAGGGGTGCGTGATCCCCTCATGAGTAGGTGGCTAAACCAATGCCACTTGGAGGGTGTTTCACAAGTCTGTGAAGAATGTCTTGCAAAGCCGACCTCTGGCACACAGGGTTTGCGCTCTGCAATCCCGTAGCTTAGGTTATGTGCCCAATAGAAGGAGTTGTGTCGTGGCTGTCACAGCGCCCCAACCTTAACCCCCATTGTCCTTTCCCCCGTACCTCATAGTGCTGCGCTGCCACAAGCCCCACCACTACCGCACTCATGTTGCCTCTCAAACTGCCATAGCTTTAGATCAGTGTTGCCAAGCCTCACGGGGAAATGCGGCAGCGCTGCCTTTAAATAAGCCAGCCCCACACCAGGCCCACACCAGCCCAAGTCCATCTCTAGAGGAAGGGGTGGGGTTACAGAAGTTGAACTTCCCTGTTAATTTATGTAAATGAAAGCAAAGAGTCCAATAAGTACAGCAGACAATACAAATGTAATGGTGCGGAAGCAGCCAAAGGCCAACTAGTTGCAAAACACACAAGTTTTACAATCACCATACCACTCATCGGTACCGCAAGTCTCATCTGTTCAGAAGTGAAACCCCGATGAGTCTCAAGTTGTATCATTTTCATGAAGTGTACATAAAATTTTTAAACATACGCGATTTGGTGGACACAACAGGAGCTTAAGTATTGATTTGTTTTGATCTGCGAGTTCCCCTGGATAAATCCTCACGATGAAGAATATCACTGACAAGGCTGTCCAGGGTGTCACCCCAAGAATTCCATGACCCTACCCTGCCACGTCGCAACCCTGCTATGACCCTACCCTGCCACCATATCACCCTGTTACGATGCCACCCTGTCACGACGCCACACTGCCAAGATCCTACCCTACCACGTCGCCACCCTGGCCACATCACCACCATACCACGTCGCCACCCTGCCACGCCACAACGACTCCACCCTACCACGTCGCCACCCTGCCACAACCCTACACTGCCACGTTGCCACCCTGCCATGACCCCACCATGCCACGACCCTACCCTGCCACGTCGCCACCCTGCCACGCCGCAACAACTCCAGCCTGCCATGTCACCACCCAGTCACATTGCCACCAAGCCACCAGACCCCTATATGCGGATCTGTTTCAGGGGTCAGATCCCAGAGGTGAACAGGCGGGGTGTCTTACTTGGGCCGGCGGAAGATGTGGCCATACTGCGAGCAGGCGAGCCCCACAGTGGGCGTGTACACAATGGGCATCAGGTGCTCAATGTCGTCCTGCAGGATGCGATAGAAAAGCTTCTCGTTCCGCTCCTGTATGCCCATCACATAGATGTACCTACACACGTCCCACACAGTGCAGTCAACACACACCGCAATATTAACACACACACTACATCACACACGGTGGAGTTAAAACACAAAGTCACATCATACACACCGCAGCCAACACCACAATTAGTGGAGTGATGAGGCAGTGGTGCTGCTGGTGAGAGTGGAGCAGCAAGGTCAGCGTTCATCTGCGCGTGGTGCACAGTGCAGGTTGGTGGCAGTCTGGTGCCATTCTGTGAACCGCCGCCACGCGGGGCCCCAGTTCGACTGCGACGGAAATTCCACTGCGTCTCTTCAGTCTACCGTTATGCCCGTTCGGCCTCATTCCACCCGTTGGCCTAAATCGAACGACTGCATTCAATTTGCATGAACCATAAACGACCGGTGTGTAAACGGTGAGGAATCATACACAGCTAAACCGGTGGTGATGGTGGCGACGCTGGACGTGGCCTGTGATCTAGCACGGTGGAGGCAGTGAGCATTGGTGGATCGCACACAGATTTTTTTGAAACTCCCTTCCCAAGGGGGACCGAAGAGGTGCCATACCCTGGCTTGCCAGGAGAAGGCAGTCCTGCAAGTAGACTAATTACCATCTGTTTCCATCCGTACAAGTACAGAGTGTTTCCTCTTCTTGGTTCTTTCGGTAAAGTCACGTAGAAGTGTTTCCTCCTCGTCATTGTGGGTTATCTTCAGGTGCTCCTGTTTCCTCCTACATGTATAATAAACACATCAGGAGCCTTCTGCACACGAAGTGTGTGCTGGGGCCCGGCAGCAGCATCAGCGTGTGGTCGAGCAGGCCAGCAGGCGATGGAGCAAGTGGGCGGGTGGGTGGGCGGACAAGGAGCAGGCTTTGGACTTACTTCTGCAGTGGCTCAGAGAGTCCAGCCAAGTTCTCCTTAAAGCGATCGGCCTGGATATCCTGGCTCTCCACTTTCGGGGGGATGAGACCCTGCAGGCCGAGGATCTGCCGCTCTGCGATTGTGAACGCCATGCCCTGGTATCGGCGCCGGATAAGGACAGCATTATGCAGGCACAGGCACTCATGCACATAGATAATCCCTCTTACACACACACACACGTTAGCTCGCAAAACACACATGTTCATACATGCAAACATAATAACACCCCATCGCTTTCACACTCACATCTGCTGCTGTGTCTTCACCGAACTCTAAGCGGATTTTGTTTAAAGCTAGCCTATCACTAATCTCAGAAAGAAAAAGATTACTACGATTTGAACTCGATAGTTTAGACAAGACTCTCTTACAATCACATTTAATGTTAACACAAAAAATGTCCCCTTCCGATTGGAACCGCATTGACAACATGACAGCTGCCTCTGCTGATTCACTGTCAGCCAAATGTAAAGCTAACCTGATCTCTAAATTCAACCTCCTATCAAAGAAGAAGCCAGAACCACACATCACAAACCTGGATGTTAACAAGATCGTTATCAATCAGAGTAACATCCCGATTTCGGACAATCTGAAAACAGTACTGGCTAAAGGTAAAACATTTGCTGTCACCCCTAAACATATACCAGTAGAGGATGTGATCTCTCAGGTCGATGTAGCCTTCAAAAGGCATAGGACACATCCAAGCGGACGTTGCGAGAGCTGAAATAGCCACTATTCTCAAGAATGCTAAGAAACCCATTAGCAACATTAGCAAAAACGAACGCTCTGAACTCGCAAATTTGAAAAAGAGGGATGATATAGTCATCCTCTTGGCCGACAAGGGCAATGCTACTGTCATCATGGATAAAAACTCATACAACAACAAAATCCAGGACCTACTCAATGATGGTAGTTACTCCAAAATTAAAAGTGATCCGACGAACAGCTTAACGACAAAAACCAACAAGATCATCACTAGTTCGACTTCCCTAATCGAACCAACCAAAAGTCCCTCCCTAAAACCCTCGGCTGCAAGACCTCCCAGATTCTATGGTCTTCCCATGATCCATAAAAAAGGTACCCCACTACGGCCCATCGTGTCCACGATCAACTCACTTAGCCCGTTTTCTATCGGATACTCCGCTTCCCTTCACTGGCAAGACCACCTCAGCAGTACTTAACTCAACCCAATTGTCTTCTTGGTTCTTTCGGTAAAGTCACATAGAAGGGAAATAATAAAATAATAAAAATAAAACATAATAAAATAATTCTCACGACGTTTCGGCCACAACGCAAGCAGCCGTCCTCAGGTGAAGAACAGGTCTGTCGGAAAGACAGCGTCTGAATGAGACGCTGCCTTTCTAACAGACCTGTTCTTCTGAATGAGACGCTGTCTTTCTGATAGAACTGTTCTTCACCTGAGGACAGCTGCTTGCGTTGTGGCCGAAACGTCGTGAGAATTATTTTATTAGGTTTTATTTTTATTATTTTATTATTTCCCTTCTACATGACTTTACCAAAAGAACCAAGAAGATGAATCCCTGCAGTCACGAAAGCTTTAAATCGAAATTCAACCCAATTGGTTTCCATGGTCAAGAACATTGTACTGTCTCCTGATGAGGTCCTCGTCAGTTTTGATGTGGTCTCTCTGTTCACCAAGGTTCCAGTGCCTGACACCATAACAATAATTGAAGACTTGGTCCAACATGGACTGAAACCGGATGTACCTGCGCTGGTTAGGCACTGCCTCACCAACACTTACTTTACCTGGAATGGTACCTGCTACAAACAAAATGAGGGCACCCCTATGGGTTCCCCCTTGTCACCAGTGATAATCAATGTTTTCATGGAGAAATTCGAATCAGATGCCATCCAGACATCCACCCTTCGTCCTTCTCTATGGAAGGGATATGTGGATGATACTTGTCATTTGGCCACATGGCCTCCCAGCATTGAACCAATTCCTAGCCCACATCAATTCCAGACACCCATCCATCAAATTTACCATGGAAGTGGAGAAAGATGGCAAGCTACCATTCCTGGATGTTCTGTTTGAGAGGAGGCCCGATGGCTCTTTGGGACATTTAGTGTACAGGAAGGCCACCCACATAGATTCCTACTTGAAGCCTGACTCCCACCACCACCCGGCTCAAAATAATTCCCTCATCAAAACACTATTCCATAGGGCTCATTGCATCTCAGACCTATACCACCTGGCCAGTGAATTAAAACATGTACATCTGGCCCTCAAGATGAACGGCTACTCTGACCGTACTATCCGCCAAGCTGTTTCTCCCACCATGCAGAAACAACCACCTGAGACTCCGATCAAAATCATCACGTTGCCAAACATAGCAGGCGCGACCAAAAATATTTACTAAATTCTAAACAAACACAAGATCCAGGTCCGATTCAATACAGTACACAAAATCCGTGATCTGATCCCATCCGTAAAGGATGTTATTCCTGACTTACAGTACCCCGGTGTTTATAAATTGAGTTGTACTTGTGGTGACTGCTATATCGGGGAGACGAAACGACATATTTCTGACCGAATTCGCGAGCACAAGTCAGATTTGAAACACGGCAGAACGAATTCTTCGGCCGTGGCTGATCATTGTTTCAACACAGCGGGTTCTCATGATATCGTTTTCTCCGATACCAAAGTACTCTGCAAACCTCCCGGACATTACCAAAGATTTGTCCATGAAGCCATCCAGATATACAAACATAGACACAACTTCCACCGAGAGGATGGTTTTAAATAAAGCAATCATTGGAAAGATGTCATCAACCAAGTCAAACTTTAACTACCTTATAATTGTACAGCTGTAACGGGTTCCGGAGACACTTGTAGAGGTAACTTCTTTATTACAATACAACACTCCAACAGTCCAACTCTCCAACAGTCCAACTCTCCAACAGTTCTGATACTCTGTTAGAGCCTAGGTACACAGCCTAGGTACACAGCCTAGATACTCTACTCTGGCTACGCTCTGGAACTCGCCCTCACAACGTCGTAGAGTCGGGAGTTCCAGAGTCCCACCACTGGCTCTCACAGCATCCCAGGGTCTTCAGATGGCTGGTCGTGGGTCGTGGGTCTTGAGTTACAACTGGGCCTGATCGTCCAGGTAGCTCCGCTTTTATGCCCAGTCCCCAACGAGGGGTGGGGCCGTGTGCGCCCCCAGATATCCCACAGAGCACACACAGCCCCCCCCCCCCCCTTTGGCGGCGCCAAGGGGATTAAGCGCCTGGGAACCCAACGCCTGGCGCCAAGGGGATTAAGCGCCTGGCCCGCCCAGGGACCCAGAGCCCCCAGCAGCCCCTCCCTTCTTATGTCACTACATTACCCCCCTCTATGTAGCCTCCAGCCGTCCCGGCTGTCAATAATTAGAAAGTTTAAATTAACGAAAGGGAGAGAGAGAAAAAAAAGAAAAAAAATACGCGAGCCTTAACAGGAAAAGAAAAGAGAACAAGAAAGCAACCATAAATACCATACCCAACCTGTACAACTTTACACTATATACAAGCATCAATCAACAAAAAGGTGAAGCAATGACACGTGAACAAACGACCCATGGCACACCTAGCCCTCCTCGGGATACGCATAGAAAACGGGGAATTAGCAACAACAAATATACAGATTCCGACGCGTTGGATGCACAACCACCGCATGGATGGCAGGGTTCCACACCACCCTGCCAGCCTCCCATCCGTCAGGTGGAGAGAAGGCGAAGACCAACATGTCGAGCATCCCTCTACACACACTAATCTGGACGTGTGTCTACGTCCCGGGTCGAGAAGTCGTACTTCAGGGCCGACCTATGTACTGGGCAAAGAAGTCGCACTTCAGGGCTGCTCCAGTATCTACATTTTAAAATATATGTATAAAATTGACATGACACAAACAAAATAAATCTGCCTGCTCCTGTCCATAAATGGTGGCCGCACGCACGAACCGCATCTCCAAAAGGCATCCCGTGCTTGCGTCCCAGCAGCCCTCAATGAGGACCACCACCGACATTACATGTCAACCGTTAGCACCCCCCGCCTTTCCAACGTGGCGTCTCCATCCTAAAACCGCGCACGTCGGCCATATCGGGGGGCTTCAACCCAGTCTCTCTCCAAGACTCGCATCGCAGCATATAGCTGTACCGACCGAGCTGAGACGACCCAGTCTCTCTCCAAGACTCGCATCGCAGCATATAGCTGTACCGACCGAGCTGAGACGACCCAGTCTCTCTCCAAGACTCGCATCGCAGCATATAGCTGTACCGACCGAGCTGAGACCCAATCTCTCTCCAAGACTCGCATCGCAGCATATAGCTGTACCGACCGAGCTGAGACCCAATCTCTCTCCAAGACTCGCATCGCAGCATATAGCTGTACCGACCGAGCTGAGACGACCCAATCTCTCTCCAAGACTCGCATCGCAGCATATAGCTGTACCGACCGAGCTGAGACGACCCAATCTCTCTCCAAGACTCGCATCGCAGCATATAGCTGTACCGACCGAGCTGAGACGACCCATCGTTCACTCCCTGCACAACATGCACCCTAACAACTGAGGGATACAGTCCCAACATAACGGGACAACTACACCTGAACACCACGAATCTCCAGCCCACTGTTTTAACGCGCCTCGGAGTGTTTCAATCTCCGGGCCGTCAGGTCAAGCCGTCAGCGATTCCATGACGGGACCACACTCTCCGAGCCATGTGAGCGCACAGCCCACTAGGCTAGACATGCCACGGAGTGTTTCAATCTCCGGGCTGTCAGGTCAAGCCGTCAGCCATAGCATGACGGGACCACACTCTCCGAGCCATGTGAGCACACAGCCCACTAGGCTAGACATGCCACGGAGTGTCTCTATCTCCGGGCTGTCAGGTCAAGCCGTCAGCCATAGCATGACGGGACCACAACTCTCGTGTTAGACACGCAACACCCGCTGGCCCATCCTGGTCAGGATCTGCATCCCAAGATATTTGAGAGCCAGCATGACAATTCCAAATCCTTGGCAGCATGTCATCATCTCAAGATAAATGCCCCATACAGTCTATACATCGTTAACAATGACAGCACAAGCTATACATTAACA